GGTGTGTTACTCTGGTTTAGTAAAAAATGAGACAGCAGATCCATTTGCAGTACTTGTTTTGTGTAGGTGCAGTTTTTTTTTTTTGTAGGGGAGAATGTATTTCTAATTGGCTTTTTCATGCAAGCCTTTACAAGTTCAGAAACGTAATGTTCTCCAATGTGTTTGCACATGCAGAGGACAGCCACGGTCTCAAATTTCTGACAGTGTTAAACTGAAAACCTGCTTTTTTTACATTCCTAGGGACTGAGTTTGTGAGAATTTCTCAAAGGAGAGCAAAATCGAGGTTTTCATAATGATCATGTCCATTTGAAAGTGGAGTAAAGTGCAAAGGGTGGAGGATGTTAATGCTGCAATTTTTAGAAGCCTGTTAAAAGGATTTTTACATTTTCAAATGAAGCATTTAAAAAAAACAGGTTTTTCAGCATTATGTTTGCAGTAACGTTAATCAGGTCACAATATTTTTCAAAACACTGTCTTACTCCTACACAGCCAAATGCAAAATAATTTGTCTGCTCAGTACTGCCAGTGTATTGTTCGTGTCTTTCTAACCTACCAGGCTAGAATGACACCTTGTATATCTTTCCGTTCTGTTGACTGTAAGCAAATGCTGCATTACAAATTATTTCAGTCGTTTAAACCACACTGTTCAAGGCTGTAAAACAAGGGGGCTACCAGAGTTCTGCTCTTGGTCGGGCTACTAAAAATAGCTTCCAAACTGGCCAATTAACACATTCGCACCCACAACAGCTAACACTAACCCAGCTCATGCCAACAAAGTTCCAGTTCCAAAGGCAGTATTGATCTCATTTTCCTGCCTTTCACTTCAGTGGAAAAGAAAGACACCGGGGGAGTTATTTATAGAAAACCTGCCTGTGGTACTGTGTCTTCCTTCTGTCTCCTCCCCTCTTTCTCTCTCTCACAGGCACACAAGCTCAATATCATTACCACTCACACATCTACCACACAGTATTTATAAGCTCCCATTTTTTTCCCCCACCATATTCTTCTGAATCTCTATGGCTATATTTCCTCACACAGTGAATTGTTCAAAGACTGAGCAATAATCCTTTAAGAGGAACAGAAAAGGCACAACTGACATGTCTTCACATCCCATTGCTGATTTGTCAAAGCTGTTACGTTGCCTCAGATTCACATTCACCATATTCAGGTACTTTAATAAATTACAGATTATCAACTTGTAGGCCAGTGATCGTCATTTTCATGTTCTAGGTATAACACAGTAAATTGCACCACCACTTTTCATTTTCCAGAATGCTTTTTATTAAGCCCTGCCCTGAGGCAGCATTTAGGAACACTAAAAATCTTCCTAGAAACCTGTAAACTCCTATTTCTTAATACATCTTTTTTCTTAATAAACCTAGAGCTCAAAAGAGACTGATTCCAAAAAATTACAGAGAAAATTAAGAAAATTACAGAGATAAATAAATGTGTATTTCATATGGTTGCCGTTCCTGAGTTTTTTTTTCTATTTTCACCTTTTTGTTTCTATTTCCCAACACTTTTTGGATTTTGCGCTGTATTTTGACTGAACTCTACTCACATTCTGATAGTTAATTATGGACAACTCTCCAAGCTAAACACATCACTTATTTTTATTACAGTGTGTTCCAGACTGATCCTGTGATTCTATCCTTGGATTCCTTTCTGCCTCAAAGTTCAAAATTATTGGATTTACTGCATCTTAGGTATTTTGTTATGGTCCTTTGCAGTTGGGTTTCATGTTCAAGGAAGGTCACGCAGGAACACATAAACTGTTCAATCCCTCATCTAAGTCACTGCAGGCTGAACCCTGCCTTTTTCTCAATGGTTTAATACAACTTTGGAATTCTTTGGAGTTTCACACAACTTTGGAATTCTAACACAGATATTAATTAAGCAAATCTGAGTCTACAGCATATTTTGGTCCTCAATGGTATTTTTTAAACAATAAGATGTACAGTAAAAACATTTGTGCAAATTAAGTCTTTTCTTAAATCCTTTTGCACTCACCCAGAATACCCAATTAAAGTTCAAAGTAAATCCAAAGGAGATCACTCTTTTACTATAACCATGACTTATGCTGAATGTACAAAACTGTATTAAATCTACTTACAGTTTATTTGAATATATAACTTAAATGGAGCTGATGAAAAAAAATACATGTAATCATGTAAAAGTGGAATTAATTTACATATCTATCATTCACATTGGCAATAAATAGATAATTATGCTTTTTATGCCTTTTGGGAATCAGGTCTGAAGAAAAGTTAATGAAATTCAAAGGAAAATGTTCTGTTCAGCTGGGTGGTCCAGAGTCTTTTGCAAAGTGCTCAGAATTAATTTTCTCTTGCCAATGACTCATATATCCTTATGGAAGTTATACACCTTTCACAACTCCTGTCGATTTTATTTACAAAACCTTTAAAATGTAAACTGTTGGAGAACAAATGTTGAGGCAGTCTATCTTTTTTTCTTTCCCAAAAGGCCTAATTTTACAAAAGGAAAGCAAACAAAACTGTAAACTTTTTCAGCCTGTAAGTGATTTCAAAAGAACAGAGCTCGATCCAGATGGCAGCCAGTCAACTTTACAGACGGAGTTAAAGGCCAAAAAAACTCCTCTTTCCACTTAAGGATGTTGGGCATCCAGACAAGAATTCTGGAACCTCATTCCTGAAACCTTACTCATAAACAATAGTCCCAGTATGGCTAGTAAAGTAACGATGAAACAACTTGGAACAGAACCTGCAGTGTACCTTACATGAATATGTATTTATTAGATTTAAAAAGTATTAAAAAGCTTCTTTGTAAAAAGGATTATGCTCCATGTGTGCCTAAAGACACGACAGAAATTAACTACAGGGACTGTTTGAGTATATGTACACTTGAGCACAAGTGTGATAGAAGAAAATCAACTGAATCTATGCCAATATGGCAAACTGCGTATTAGCTGTAACTTGGCATGAGGTCTTCAGTCACATTGTATTATCCTAACTAATTTTCAGGAAAGGTGCTCCAGCGTTCAATTCCAGACTTGAGCGTCTGTCGCGTGGAGTTTGCACAGTCCACCTGTGTCCACATGCAGGTTTTTAAACAGGTGCACTAATTGCTTCCTACCTCTCAGTGACATACTGACCTTGTTAAAGTTGATACTCTGTCCACTTTTCTGTAACCAAGTGATGGACTGGTGTCCAGTTCAAGGGAAAAACAGTTCTGTGTTCTGAATCCCACCTTACATCTTGTGCTTCCAGGGTACACTCAGGGTTTGCTATGGTACTCACCAGGGTAAGTGGCTTTCTGATAATATATGGATGGATGTGGTCTTCTGAGAATAGCTCTATGAATGGGATTTCTACATTGTTTCCCATTTTATAGCTACATTACCAGAGGCTGATCATTAAAGTTTTTTTTTGTGTTTTCTTTTTACCTGCAGGCCTACTTAGGAACAGCAAATTCAATCTAACGAAAATGTTCTTGGGTCACATAATCATTTCTCACTTTTTGTTGTGACTTTCCAGGTTATCCTCAACCCATAAGCCAGACTACACATTTAGATGCATAACTGTTGTGACATTTTGCCATGTCTTATCTAGGACTATGCAGACACCAACAAAAAAAGGCAGTCAAAGCTATGTCTCTAAAGTTTTCTAAGCAGAGGTCAAACATACAGTATCTGATAAAAGCAGCATCAGCATTATTCCCAACAATAACAGCAGTGGTAATGCAATAAAAGACACAGTCACATGGCTCATTTAAACACAGGACTGAAAAAAGCCAGGGTCATTCATTAGTTAACCTGTATAGGGAGTTGATTTTAAGATGTAAATTCAGACTTTTTGTATTGTAATGCCAATTTACTAAAGCATCTGGACACTCTAACTAAATCCCCAGCCCTTTGTGTATCTTGAGTTGTGCAAATGTACAACACAATACATAATGTGCTCATGATGTGGTGAATTTGACCTATAGTGATCCATGGATCGGAAGATAGTAATTATTTTATCTTAGTAACTGGAATGAATCAAACAGTGAAAAATAAAACGAATCTTAACTCATTTACAAAACAGTATCTTTTCACATGTCTTAACATGGTAGTGCAATTTGTACATTTATTTTTTGGGGTAAAAAGAAGACAACACAGGACTATGTAAACAATATGATTAAAATAATCTGTTGACTTTTTTCGGCTTTGCTTAGCTTTGCTTTGTTTATTTTCAAAATAAACTTAGCTTGAATGTATCCTAAAAAGGTGCAACCATTGTGCTGCAGGCAGAGCCATATAAATGTGTGTGAATGAGTCTCAGCAGAGATAAATTATCTCTGTCTATCTCAGGCTAGTCAACACATCTCATAAGTGCTGTATTAGTGCTTTTTTGTAAAATCAACTTGGCTCAAGGCAGTTAAGTCATTTTTGTAACTGAAATGATCCTTCAGACTACTTATAGTACTTGTATGCATCTTCCTATTGGAAAAAACATTCATGTTATCTAGCTTTCTGCATTATATAATTTCAATCTCACTCTACTGTATATAGCCAGCAACATTTTGTGAATGTTGTTTGCCACTGATTGTTGAAAAGATTTTCCCAAGAAGTGTAGAAGTAAATTTAAACTGCACACTCTCTTTGGTGGACACATTATGCCAGATTGTCTGCATGTTGTCTTGAGAGATCAAACTATAGTCTCACATCTGTACTCTCTTACATATAAATACTCGCCTGCTGAGCACTCCTTTTCAAGAATACCTTCCTCCACCCCATCTTCACCTTTTAATCTGCCTCCCTGGTTCATTCCTCACTAGTAAGGGGTGTTTTAGCAATCCTGACCTTACAGACAGTGCCGTAATTTCCTCAGCCAAGTGAGTTAATGCCAAACTCTAAAATATAAAGCACTCTATTTCTTTAGATTTGGTGTAGTGTCTCATCATAATCAGTATTTGACCAAATTACTAAATTCATTTTCACAGAAATAATGGCATAGCCCACAAAAAAAAAAATTCAATACCAGATGAAGTAATAGCTGCATCACTTTAGTTGGCTGGCTCTGACTGGCCAAAAATCTAGTCTCTGTCCTCGGCTTCTTTTGTTCTTTTGAAATGAAATAAGAGAAAGGTGTAGATAAATTAAATTACTCCATTAAGGGCATTACAGTTAAAAAGCCAAGAGATTCTCCGGAGGAAAGAAAAACCCATAATGTCAGAAGTAAACATCGCAGAGAATACACAAAGGAAATTGTTCCTTTTAATTCTGAAAAAGAGATCTAAAAAATTATAAATTTGAGAAAGGTACTGATAAAATAGGTTGTACTGGTTTTGTGAGTTTTTCATTTGAAATTAAACAGTGCCTAAAACTGCAAGCATTTTGTTTTGTTTTCTGGTTTGGTTTTATGGGAAAAACTGAAGCCAAATTTAGAACTAAAAAATTTTCAGATGATTTAAAAGTAGGTTCGTCAGACACTTTTTCTCCCAGGACCCAGGGAGGGGAAACAGGAGAAATAAATAATTTCAGTTTTCATAAAGTCCCTGGGAAAAGATACTTTTCTTTTAACATTTTGTACATGTTTTCTTCTGTAATTCAGTTTCAAATTGTTTTAGATTTTATTGGAAAAAAAATGTATTATCAGCATGGAGTACTTTAATTGCTTATAGAATATTAAAAAAATGATACTTTAGCCATTTCAAATTCTGAAATGATTAAGCAACTATGCTGTCATGCTCCATATACTTGGCATTATTTTAAAGAGGATAGCACTGTAAAATCAGAATTCACCAGTTGCTTACAGTGTCAATGGAATTTACTTTAAAAAACATATACATCAAACACACAAAATATACTAAATATCAAAAGAAACATACAGTACTGTATCACTCTATTTATGCAAGTATGTTTATTATCTTTTGAGTTGTCAATATTTTTAGTTTTATAGTGGTTAATTAATTGGTCATGCACGGCTGATCATGATTTTGTCATGAGCATTAAATCACTTTGTTACAGAGCATGGGAGTTGATTGGTTGTGGGTGTGTGACAGAGTGCTTGTTATCTTTCTGAATGTTAAATACTCCAATACTTCCCCTACCCTTCTGGTATGTTTGAGAGAGTGTATGTGATTCGAATGAAGTGTGAATGATACTTACCCTTTTTGTTGTTTCCCTAAAAGCACTGCAGTGTTCCCCATTTGGAGTATTGTATTGTATTGTGTTGATCAAGATGGCCACCAGTCACCTTTCCTGTTTGTAGTATTACACAAATGATCTTAAAGGGAAAGGTTGCTGGTGAGCCATCTATAAATAACCGATGTAAGGTTAGGTGTTTTGTTTAAGTGAATATATCACAGTTGCATGACTCTGTTAAAATTTATAAGGTTTTTTTGGATGGTTGAATACTTTATTTTGAGCAAACTGCTCATCTCTGTTAAGAAAATGTGAGCGAGTCCCTTTAAGAGGATGGTCCTTAGAAGAGGAGGGGCTATAAAAGGGACTGGGAGAGCTCAGGATGGGGAGGGTGCCTTGGAGGAAAGGTGTGGAGAGTACTCCTGTGAAGGGTTTTTTTTATCCCTATTTTTTTTTTTTTGGCAATAAATCCAGTTTTGTTTGCATTTGAAGCCTGTGGGGGTATCTTTTCTTTTGAGCCAAGCCTGGTCACTTGGCCGGTGACAGGGTGATGAGGTGTTTTAACCTGTGGAATTGTCAAGCCTGGTAAAAATCTTGAAAATAAGACCTACGTAGGAACCCGATATGCCCTGAGTATCAAGAAAATGATTCCTTTGAAGAATAAGTGCAGTATGTTGTAGGGTGAATTAAGTCAGTTCAGTGTTGCTCACCATCTGGGGTGTTCATAGCCAGCAATTTCTATCCTGTTACAGTCCAACACAGTCCATCAATGATAGGACAGATCACAAGCAACTACACTGTGTAAGACTGACGCATCACCATGCTGGATCTTTACAATTATTTCCCCTCTGCTACTTGCAGTGCATCAGAAATGCCAGATGGCAACAGCTCTCCTATCAGCAGTTCAACTGTGAGAACACAGCTATGCAATCATCGTTTGCAGTCCAGGAAACCACACAGTTGCCCAGTGTTCACCAAAGTTAAGCGACGCAACAAAATGAGGTGAAGTGCGCAACACCTTGAGTGGATTCTTTACCAAAGAATCAAGGTCTTTTGTAGATAATAATAATCATAATAATAATAATTGCTTACACTTATATAGCGCTTTTCTGGACACTCCACTCAAAGCGCTTTACAGGTAATGGGGACTCCTCTCCACCACCACCAATGTGCAGCATCCATCTGGATGATGCGACGGCAGCCATAGTGCGCCAGAATGCTCAACACACATCAGCTATAAGTGGGGAGGAGAGCAGAGTAATGTAGCCAATTCATAGAGGGGGATTATTAGGAGGCCATGATTGGTAAGGGCCAATTGGAAATTTGGCCAGGACACCGGGGTTACACCCCTACTCTTTTCGAGAAGCGCCCTGGGATTTTTAATGACCACAGAGAGTCAGGACCTCGGTTTTACGTCTCATCCGAGGGCGGCGCCTGTTTTACAGTATAGTGTCCCCGTCACTCTACTGGGGCATTAGGACCAACATGGACCGCAGGGTGAGCGCCCCCTGCTGGCCCCACTAACACCTCTTCCAGCAGCAACCTTAGTTTTTCCCAGGAGGTCTCCCATCCAGGTACTGACCAGGCTCACACCTACTTAGCGTCAGTGGGTTGCCAGTTGTGAGTTGCAGGGTGATATGGCTACTGGACCCATCACCCTACTGTACATTATGTCAGTGAATGTGTAGCAGAAATGCAGAATGATATCACTGTGTACATGAGACAAATTGATAGAGAGATCCAAATGTGGTGGTATGAGCTGGAGTGTTGACTCACACCACTCAGACCTCCAGTTGTAATAAACCTGACTGCACAGCACTACATCGATCAGGTCCAGGGACCTCACTTGCTGCCTTTTCTGCAGGCTCATCCTCATACGACAACATTCCTGAAGCACATCCTCATGCTGCTCATGTACCAGATGCATTGTTTGTGTAACTGTATTGTGCTGTGTATATTCTGTGGCTTTCAAGATTTGTGGGGATGAGCTGGGAAAACATGTGGGTTAGCATCCATTGAACAGGTACATGCTTTTCTAGGCTCAAGGAAAGGAATGGGACAGAATTCCACAAGGCAACCTGGTGAAAAATAGATGCTGCAGATACATATTGCATTGTATTGAAATGCAGTTTGATGAACTCTACAACCTTTTTAGCACTATGCTCCAAAAGGGAAGCAGACTTTAAGAGGATGATATAGTGGGAATATAATCAGGATTAGAATAGTATTCTGAAGTACTGTAGTATTCTGTAGTACTCTAAGGCTTATTTTGTCCTCAAGTCACCCTTTGTTTAATGTGTTTTTTGTACATTCGTAAATATCTTTCGGCAATTATATTATATGGATCTTATCTTGTTTTTTTTTGTGCCCCTGTTTGTATATTTCAAGCAAAACAACACCTTGAAACATATCAAAACATATCAAATCAACATGTCATGTCTGTGGTGCATGTTTTTGCAAACCATGGATGGTAATATCGATCAACAACGTAGTTGAAAAGATACATTTTGATTGTTCTTGCATGCGCAATTTTTTTCTTTTTTCCTTTACATTATATTATAATTAAGAGTGGTGTATGAAGTACTTCAACCTTTAGTTTCTGACTTATTGTCCCTTCAGTCTGGGTGGCTATATGACAGTACCACTAACTAAACTTTCATTCTCATTTCTGGATATGGACACAACTTTTAAGGTAACTTAACATCCTTAGCCTTTCATTCACAGTGACTGGGACTGTGTAGGGAGTTCACTTGACAGATTACCTGAACTAAATACTTTACTTCAGCTAACACAAGATACCAGAAACAAGCAGCCAAGCTCTCTTGATAATCGTTACTTTTTTCATATTCTTTGGTGTCTACCTCAGAGATACTTTTTTCTCTCCCAGCCCGCTCATTCAGAGTTTCTCACTGTTGACTTCTCAAGCAGAAAAGGAAGTGGAACAGTAGTGGTTTGAGATATCGGATGTAGTATTGTCACATGGCCTCTGCCTCTGAAACTAGCCACAGAGAAACAGGAAACCATGCATGAGAGAACAATCTAAGTACTGATATCACACCACACCTATTAGTTGCAAACTGAAACCAGAGGAAGGCTTACTGTGATAAATATAGCTCACAAACTGCTGCTGGTAATACATTTTAGTCAAAGTGGAACTTTCTCAGATGCCAGCATTTAGCATCTGAATAAAAAGCTAGCCGGTCAAACTACAAAAACTGTAGCAGTTTATTTTAGAAAACTGTCATGGCACATACCTTCTGAGCTTGAAAATGTTTCCATTTTAAGTCTTTAAACTCCCCTGGAAGCTGCGTAGTTATGAATTCTGCCATTTGAGTGACATGTTAAGTAATTGAACTAAAACTTTGTATTTATAAAATCATCTCAAACAATTTCAAACGTGAAAAACCATCACCTATCGTATATCAACATGTCAGTTATCAGTTGTGAGGCCTTTTTTAATTTACTTTCAGCTCTTATAAAGCTGAATGACATTTGTAATTATTTTGAACCTCATGCTGCGTAGTGAGTTTCAGGACTGCCCTCATTCAGGTGTGCCCACTGAACTATAATATATATTATTGGACTTAAGCAGAAGGAAAAATACTTGAAAGAAAACATCTATTCACTGTGGGTGTCGTCTGACAAAGTGTCATTCCCTGTCTGTCCGTCTTCAATTCATCACTTATTGATAGCAGTCTAGATAGAAACAACTCATTATTATTTTTAGAAATGAGCAAGTGCTTCATTTGCAAATGTGGGAGAGACAGCAAGTCCTGTGTGATGAATGTTTTGTAGACAATGTATTTGAACTAGGATATTTTTTGGAAACCAAAACCAGAATGCAGAAAAAGTGTAAACCAACAAACACATCAGCCACAGATACCAGTTAGAAATTGTGATTAAGGGTCCACATGAAACAAACACCGGTAGACACAGAGGCTCTCCAGGACCTGTATTGAGAACAAGTAAAGGTTTATTCCATGCTGAAAAGAGAAGAAAGGAAACACAATATTTCAGCTCTGGTGCCTTCTTCCGGTGTGAACTACTTGAACTACTGTATTGAGAACTACAATCAGCAAACCTTTACTCTGGCTCCTGATTCGTCTCTCCAGTTCCAGCAGAAACACCAAGAGATTTTGGACTTCACCTCTCTCTTCATACATCTTTCAGTACAAGAGACTTTCAAGTATTGTGTTGTTTTTGTAACTGTGAATTATTCCATAAGTTTACTAAATGTATTAAATATGGGGGTTTCGGAGACCAATATGTTGTGTTTGATTGTGTTTGAGGAGAGTTTCATACCCTAGGTCCTTAAGTAAAACTGTGGCAGAAGTCACAGGGACACGCACAACTTAAAACAATCACACTGAGCTGGATGTTTTGCTAAATGTGAACTCTGAGCAGACCGCCACTGAAACATACTTCAGACTGACTGCACTGATGAGCACCGCAGTTCAAAGCACAGGCTGTGGTTACTAGGATACCACCCAACATTAGCAGAAACTTCACTCAAATCAACAGTAACCATGAATTCCTTCCATCAGGGACCTGATAGTTATTGCTGGGGATCAGTCAAAGAAACTACATTTTATATCAGAATCAATGCACGATATTGGCTATTTGGAAAGTAGTTATGGAAAACAAATGCTATAGATACACTTCTGTGAACAATGTAATTAATAATATGCTTAGGATCAATTCTAATATTAACATAAAGTATTGACAAAAAAGTAATATGTGGAATGTAATTTAAATACAGTAAGAGATTCCTTTTACTAGTCAATGTTAAGAAGAGCAGGAGGGTACCTACTGTAATGTGAGAGTCTTTTCTGCTTATTTGTTTGTGAATTTCATAGCTGAAAAAGAAAGCAGGTTTCTTAGCACAGTCTCCTCCTGGTGTGCTCTATTTTATGGGTGATTCCGAGCAGGGAGAAATGAAAAATTATGTTACGAAAAGAAGTTTGGAAAAGAAAGACACAAGTCTTCTTACTGGACACAGCAATAACTTTAACATAGAGATTAGCGGCAAATTCTGTCCTCTCTAATCATTCAATAAAAAATCTGCTCAGAACCAGTGATTTTTAACAAGCTCTCTGAAATCGATTTTGACAAACAGGTGGCCATATTTGCACAATGGGGGCATTACTTCAGCAAATTTTAATCGGATGAATAAACAATTCTGATTTTCTCATTAACATCGTATTGCTTCACTGCTGCAGTGTGTTTAAATTTGTCACAACACAGCTATTCTTTTATGTTTCAATTTATATTTCAATTTATGTGTCCTGAATTGTGAATCCTTGGAGACAGTACTGTTTTCTACTATTCCCCTAATACAGATTAAAAAAAAAACTTTGAATCTGTCCTCCCTGAGTCTGTGATTAGTTTTTCATTTGCCATGCAGTCTGCAGAGCTGTAGCTGGGGGATTGCATTTTAAGACTGCAACCCTAGAAAAATGTGTGTCTCTTTCTCCAACATCCAGTTTGATACATGGGCAGGATTGCAAGCAGTTTAATTGACCGACTGATTAAACCCCTAGAATATTTAAGACAGTGATCCATTTTAGATTGAAGAAAGATATTGCAGGGAAAGGCATATCACTCGACTCAGCAAAGAATGATGTTGTGACTTGCAGCAAACAGTGCTGCACAGCTTAGTGTTACCCTTGATACTATACTCGCTGTACTGCCATGAGACAGATTAACTAAATGCACTAAAATGTTACACATATTAAAAATAAAAGAAAAAAAAAACAGTAAAAAATTATTAAATATGTGGGACTTTTACAAAACAGTATACAGTATGGTGGTAATACTACATACCTGTAAGAAAACACTTTTAGACGTGCAGTAATTGCCTTTTTTTGCTTTGCATTTTCATCATGTCAGTTGTTTAGGCCACATTGAAATCATTCCCTGCAACACTGTGGATTTGAATAATTTGGATAGAATAGAATTATAGAATTTTTAAGTGTCGAGAGCAAGAATGAGGGAAAGGGGGTAGGATAGGGGCACTTCCTACTTGAATTTAGATTGTTTTCAAATCTGCAGAGAAGTCATGTGGTTTGCAGCACAGTGAAATATTAATAGATCTGTTTATGGCTTAGGTATAAATTTCAAGTGAATTCTAGAAATTTAACGATGGTGCTTACTTCTCTTTGAGATCTACCACAAGGCCTAATAACATTGCACTGTTTTAAGGTAACAAGAACTAAATAAAAAAACATCTATAAAAAGTCTGTAGCTGAAATCAACTTCATTCCACAGAGGGTCTTAGCACACTAAGCATCAGACATCAAATGGTCTTCCTCTGTATAACCAGCAAAGCAGGATAACCAGTGGGCTACATTGAATGCCTGTTTTTTTTTTCCATAACTGCCTGTGTGCCCAGGTTTGAGGTGATCCAGATCCAATTCACAGAAATTGTGCAGCCGAGTAAACAGTGTTTTAACAGATGTCTGGAATTGCAACAAGAACCGTTTGGGTTATCGCCCTAAGCACAGCGCAGTTTTTTTTTTACATTCGTACAGCCATACCAAGACAAAACAACAAGTCACCCCGTTTTTGCAGTCACATCAAAACCAAACTGCGAGTCACCCTCATGGAGGCTGACTGATAATCAGGGTCAGTGTTTATCTAGCGAAACGGATATCCTTCCACTAACGCCCACTCCTGACAGGATAGACACCTGCCAGATTAAATGTCCTTTCACTATCATTTTTACCAAACTCATTCTGGCTTCTTTAAGGTGGATGTATTCTGATTAGCTGGATTCAATGGGTCCAGTAAGTACAGAACATAATTAAGCTTTTAAATCCTCTGTTGGTTGTAAGTCATTTAAGGTGTATAAGATGTATTTAAATACGGCAAATGAGAAAACGTTGTGTCGGTAAAGTGGCCTTCATTTCTACTCAGTCTTTCTTCCTCTCAGCTGTAGAACATGCCATAGTGCATTTCATGTGGAGTCTTTCCAAACATACTGTAGCTTGAGTAGGGTTTCCAACAGGATTAAAACTGCTGCCAGTCTCCATCTGCTCTCCAGATGGGGCAGGGTGTCACCAGTTCTTACACCACCCGGCAAGTTGATTGTAAAAAAAAAAGGGTCAGGCTCTTTCACTTCTCTGAGAGTCTGGGTAGTGGTTACCTACCACCACCATTACTGAGGGGTTGTCCAGACACAGTGCACAGAAAAATGGACCCACGCAGTCAGAAACCATGAACTGATGCCTGTATTTGAGGTTTCTCCTGTTCAAGGGATACATTTTAGAGCGTCCATTTTTAATAAGAACTCAAATACAATCTCTGAGCTGTATTTTTAACATATATCCCCCCAGTCTCTACAAAGTGCTCTACCCACAGTAGGAACCACACACAAAAAAGCTAAGATTCAGCAATTCAATTCAAAGCTCTGAGATTTTTATCAACATTTCTGTTTGATGTGCCAATTTATCTCAATTCACTTTTTCTGGCATAAAATAAAAGGTAATTGTTCTGAGAATGAAAGAATTAAAGTTCTTAGAATGTATTATCCTATAACAACCTTGTCTCACATAAGCCATAAAATAAGGTGTTACACAAAATCTTTTTTTACCACAATAAATCCACAAAACAATTGTTTACAGAAAAAATAATTCCATATTTATTTGCAGTATAAACAAGTCTTGTGTTGGTTCCATATACTATACAATATATAGGGTCAATTTTTATATCCTTCATAAATCAGAAAGTAGAACTGCCCTGTTACCAAGCCCATTTTTATACACATGTATAGATTGCATCTTAAAAAACAAAAAAAACGTATACAGCACATTAAAAACAGCTATTTGACATTTATATTAAGCTGTAACATGATGCAGATGCATTGTCAAAAAAATCCCTGAAAATTTCCTCAGTGAGGTAAGAAATAAATTTTTGTTCATTTTTCTCTCGCTTTGCTCATTCACTTAAACCCACATCTCGCTCTTGCTCTGATGAAGCTACAAGATATCCGACAGAAACAATCGTTCCTGTGCTCTGGCATTTTACAAATAGAGAAAACGCGTTTTAATTTTCTCTTAACATTATTACAAAAGACAGACATTCCTCCTCAAGAAAGCAGCTGGAAATGTGAAAAATTATTTTCATTTTAATACGCAGCTCCTCCCTGAAATGAATTTTAATCCTGGGGTGTGAGCAAATCATTTTTGTTGCCATCTGCTGACTGTTGGGCATCTCATTCTCAACAGGCTAGAGCAGTTAGCTCAAACATGGAGCACAGCACGATTAAGTTACGCAGAGCAAGCTGTAAACCTGCACGAAACATGCTGAAGGCCACGGGGTGAAATCTAGCTGGGGATTTGGTCATTTGCTAAAATATTTGGAAGTTCCTCGGAGATCTTTGGGATTACTCCAAAAAAAAAAACTAAAATAAAGCCACTCACATTTTTAGAAGTTTACAACCTTTTGAAGAATATTTCCCTGTTTCTACATCTGCTTCTCAAATGTCAGGTACACACATTGGACACCCCAAGATTAAGCTTTCCTTCAGTGACAAAGCAGTCAAGCTGTGTTTCTTGGAACTCTTGTACAAAAGTAGACAAATAGAAAAACCCGAGGCCTATTGTTTAAAAAATACTGTGGAAACTTGTGTATTGTATTGCAGAGAATAAGAAAAACAACAGTGTAGGACCCGTTACAAAGAAATTTGTGGGTGTCCATTATTACTATGTTTTGCTTTACAAAGTATTTTAAGCACATATCCTTTTCAACATTTACGTCTTAAGTGAAATACAAATATAGTGTTGAACAGTCAGCATTACAAAAATGCTAAAAAAGGTCATATAAGGCTGTCTTAAAGCCACAAATCCCACCCTAGCATTGATCCTTCCACTGAATGCATTCCCTGACTATCTGTTCCCAGAAACCACCTCACTAACATTCTCAGTGCTGCTCACTTCATGTCTCCCACCTCTCTCCTCTTTAGAGCCCAGGCCTTGAAAGAGCAGCAGCAAAGAAATTAAAAGAAACATTCTCTCCATTGCCTTTGAATACAGTGAGTGTTTGTAATACCCACCTCCATCTTCTCCCTCACCAGTCCCTCACTCACTATTTCCTCCTGTGAACTACTGTACCTGCGCTTCAGACTATTGGAAGTGAGCAAAGCTTTCCCAGTTCTAACAACATTTCTAATCACCAAGGCATGCGGGCGCTCAGAGTCCACCCAGAAAAACACTTTAAGGAAGAGGGTCTTGTAGCTTTGAAAAGCAAGGAACAATGAGCTTTTAAGTAAGTGCATCCCCTCTCTGCCAGTCCAGCCTGTTCTGACACTCCAGCTGCAGGGGATGATCACAGCCTTGAACTGGCAGGCTGGAGGACAACTGAACGTCTCTTTATCTTTTGTGGAGTACCAGTTTTAAGTGCCAAGATGTGAAAGGCTTCACCACTGTGCAAACTGCATTAGGTCATTACAAACATAGAAAAAAAAAAACAATCAGAAAATCACAAAGTTCTTTTTTGTTGGTTTGTTTTCTTGAGTTACAATCCAGGATTCTATTTTGCAATTTTGTCGTCTTCTTTGCTTTTTGAAAAAGTCAATATTTATATATATATATAAAAATGTATGTATATAATCAAATCCATGTACTCTACATTCGGTAGAGTGAGATAACCTCTGACAGTAAACTCCAACCATCACATTGGCACCTTCTTTGTCAGGAGGTCAAGTGCTATCTAATATTCTTGACAGATAACTTAAGAAGCGCTGCAGATCTCTATTTTTCTTTCTCTGTGTAGCATTTCTTTCCAGTCTAATACTGCCTTTTTTAGAATAAAACAACAGTCCTGGCTAAAGGCAAGAGGTGCCACTTCTCAATCATCTTAAGTTGTGGCACAGCATCTACAGATAGCAAGTGAACGCCCTCTGAGCAGCAGTCTTAGAGACATCTCGTTGGCCCATCCCATGGTATGCACCAAGATGGCCTGGCAACATGTTTGAAATGCTTTAGGAGATGAGAATAACATTCAATCTCAAAGGGTAGATGCCCACCCAGTTCCTGATCTTCATGTAGACTCCAGCGTGTCGAGCTGGAACACATTGTGATTGGTCGGTGTCGTGAAATAGAGCTGGTCATTGGGTGACCGGTTATCACAGGGGCTGTTCAGCCCCAGAGTCCTCTCAAAGTCCAAGAGCTGGCCCATGAAGTTGAAGTTGGGCGAGATGTTCGACTTTTTCCGCTTTACGAAGTCGTAGGCATCGTTCAGGGACAGGTTCAGTTTCTGCATCAGATAGGCCACCGTGACAGTCACCGAACGGCTGATCCCAGCGAGGCAGTGCACCAGAATACCACACTTTTGAGAACGAGCCTCATCTGCAAAACAAAAAGGACAGCTTTGTTGTCAAACAGTTTTATTACGACTTGAACAACGAAGCAGTTCCAACCTCTACACTGTTCAACAACTGGAAGAAAACAAAGGCTTTGCAAGGGTGGCAGAAATAAGCAACTACCCATACAGCATTATCATGTATTATAACCAAAGAATATCCGCGTGAGTTTCTGTTCAAATGAAGACGCTTACAGCCAAACCGAACTGTGAAATTAACCATGAGTTCTCCTTCCACTGTGCAATATTTGAAACACTTCCTTTCTGTGAGCTACACATTTATAGATGTTATATATTATTTAAACACTGAATGTAACAGGTTGCACAGGTTGTCTCTCTGTGCACTGTACCATTAGTGTTAATCCTAGGTAAGTGCCTCCCTCAGCTTCCCCTCATCTGACGGCAGCAAATTTTCAAAAAAGATTTTCACTGCATCTTTAAAGATTGAGGTCAGCTGTTATTTTCCTCAGAGGCATTGTCAGCCTGAGGGGGAGATTTTATTTTTCTCCTCGATTATGTTCCAAAATAAGAGTCTCCAAATTATAAAGTCAGGTTCTATCATCCTAATGGCATAAAACTGAATTCAGGACTGTTTCAATTAAACTCGTTCCTCTTAAAATGGTAAAAAATGAGTTTTCTGCACATGCTTTAAAAGGAAATAGTACCACAAATCTTACCAAGAATTTGAAAAACTAGGACTGAAACCAAAATTCTGTTCTCCCACTGTTTCAATTTCAGTTTAATGTTCATATTTAATGGTTAAATACTGTGAGGAATAACTGCACTCGTTGAATACAAATTCAATCTACTCATATTTTTACAATTCATTCATGTCACTGCAAATTTAAATGGAAAAACAGATGTGACCATAAGACTGTATTGAAGGCACACAACTACTTAAATTCCTTTCACCCATTGGCACTGCTGGAAAAACTTTTGTCTAACGCATCCAGATGAAATAAGTCTATAAGAAACTGCTATAAATGCTCAGAAAATTAAGTGGACACACTGAGAAAGACGTGTTTTGCGTGAAAGCTTCTGATTGATACCAACAGCACGGAAGCATACAGAGAACAATATAACCAGATAAGGAAAAATGTATTATTTCTCCCAATCTAGCACATTCAGTTGGCTCTAGATGGTGAAGCACAGATCCTGAGCATAACTGCAATACTCAGATCAAAGACTTCAGTGAGGATGGTAATTAGGTCCTGTGAATAAGCAATAACAAAATTACTTAGTCTGAAGCTACTATATTTTGTAAAGTGGTACAGAACCTGCCAAGACTTGAACAGCTGTCGTTTTACAGCACACTGAGCTGAAAAATACTTTTTGTATACGGAGGGTGGAGCATACTGATCTACTTTTTTAGTACTCAATGGTCATTTCAACATTTGGTTTGAAATGCCAGTGTTATATCTCTCTGTTCATGAGACATAAAACCAACTTCACACTTTATTTTTTTGTATTGATTTCCTACATTTTGGATAACAGAATGACTTGTCATATCATTTTTTATCCACCTAGGTTGCCTCACTAAAATTAGTCTCAGATCCATTCTAACCACAAAACAAACCAGCACACTCTAAAGTTATACTGAATTTTAAGTGTTTTTTGTAAGGGGTTAATACCAAATGATAAAAGTCAAGGGTTAGGGAATGTAGGGATAGCTATCACATTTCCATAAAAACCAAAAATACAAACTGTGATTCTGTCCTCCTGGTAAAAACAATAAATATGCATGAAGGCCTAAAGAGAAGCCTTTAAAACTTTATCCTCTTTTGTTTGTTTTAAGCCCGTGGACAGTAATCCTGATTTTACAAACATCTGTGCTGAACAGTTGTGGGCTCTGTGGTTATGGGTCTTTTAGCTCAATATGACCTGAGTAAGGGAAAGAGCGGTGAGGTTTAGACTATTAAAACACAGACATGGTATGGACCAGAGAGACCTCCACTCAGAGGGAGAAAAAACAGACTCAGGGTAAAACAGGATGTTTTTGCACTGCTTACTGTTCTGCATTTTCCTCCTCTTGCTACAGAATTAATCTTGCCTTTAATTTGACACAGTGGCCACATTTTCTAAAAAAAAAAAGTTTTACCATCAGTGGGCGAGGTAATCCTCCATTTCCTGCCATTAATGCTAAGTACATGAATACACCACACGGCTCAATGCTTTCTTTTCCTACGCAAGTGAAGCAGAAGAGAGAGAGAGAGCCAAAGAGCAAGCCCAAAGTACGCAAGGAGACGGAAAGCACGCAGGGAGAAATGCATGGATTAGCTAGATATTTCCCCGTGCAAACCCAGAGCATGGATAATCTATTTGAAATGCTAAACCAAGCACATGTTACACAAAACATTCATCATACAGGGAACTGTTTTCTTCTCAGATTGAATCTGAGCTAAATGCTTAAACAGTTGTTGTCAATTAACCCGTCTAGGCCTGTGTAAAAAAAAAAAGCTTCAGATATAATTGCTTTGATAGGATAGTTTTCAGGAATTTTAAGCCACTGTGACAGAAATAAACTATATGAAGTTGCTTTACAATGATATTCTCAAATGGCAACAGTTTTTTTTTTCCTGGCCAGAAAGCGTGTTTTCTCTGCTTGATAGATTTTGCAGGATACCCTGTGGAGATTCAGCTCCTCAGACCCCTTTCACAAGGCCCCAGTAGTTTGAACTATTAAAGATATTATTAAACCATGCATCAGGAAATGTGGATATGAGCCCTACCCAGCTGCTCACTCTTTTTACCCCAAGCTGATATGAGCACATCTGTGTGAAATATCACAGAACAGTCCTGTCCAATCTGAATTTTCAAACCTCAAAAGAACACCTTGATCTTATAATGTGGAGATCTTGTGGAGTTTTGTTTGGCTCTGTGTTACGGTATGTTTAAATTCAGATTTGTACTGGAATTTGCTTGATCTAAATGTTAAAAACAGACAAATTCGTTTGCACTACCAGTGGTTCAAAAACTTTGCACCTTTTGAAGATTTCCATGATTGATGAGCTATTTAGCTGTGCATTTTATCATACATTTCTTCTGTTGGTTTTCAGTTAAGGTAATGATGAAATGTAAACAGAATAAGAATCCTGAGCAATACTTCACACCCTCAGGTTCATCTGCATTAACCTTGTTAGCTGTTCGGAGAGGGTTTTTTGGAAATATCAGATGACCTCTTGCGTCAAGCAGTGAGACGACAATTGATTTGATACACTCAAGTCCTCTTTTCCTTTGGGCTGGTTGGCAAGCAATCCAATCACTGTTAATACTTTCCTCTAGGGGTCAGCAGAAATATGATTATAGTGAGTTTCTGCCCTCAAAATGAGTCTCTGTTCTTGAATGAAAAATTCAAAGAGCCAAATGGGGTTCATTCCCAATGCAGTAATAAAAGTAGCCAAGTAATTTCTTTGAATAAGTAATACCGTCTTTTACTGCATAAAGCAAATATCACTCTCCATCACTTTATATACAAAATATTGGTTTTGTTTAAAATTACATAAAAGAGAAACTGTAACAGCTTCAAAATGATTGTACTGCTGATAAAAAGATCATCTGTAGATTTTGAAAGAACAATATGGATGTTTGGTAGAGAAAGGAAAAAAATTGACATCTCAGTGTTTTCAAGATGTGAAAATTAAGTTATGAATCCCAGATGCAACAATCGCTTGTCACTCACCAAGTTCAGTGCAAAACCCTTTTAAAACCAACAGATTTGATTGTTCTTTAATTTGGGACTTCATTTGTCAATGCACTCTTGAACAGAATCTGGCATTTCACTTTCATTTGCAGTACTGAATGTTACAAACATTGCGTGTTTAGTTTCAATGGTGAGCTAGAAACTTAGTCCCACATACCGAAATGTCAAACGAATCTGAAATATTCCTACAATAGTAGAGGCTTCCCCCTACTGACTTGACCTTTCCAGAGGTCTTTTTTCCTGTAACAGTGTCCCTTTGTGCAAACCAACATTGTGCTGAATATACAGAAAAGCAAAACAAATATTTCTAACCCCATTGTACAGAGAAAGACTCATTTTCACTGTTTAAATAAACAGTATTCATTAAAGTCCCCCAAAAACTGAAGGTCTACAGAAAATGACAGGAGGGTGAAATACAAAGATTTCTAGCTGTAATGTAGCAGATGAGCAGGGCTTATTGCTGAAAAAGTAGATATTTCTATGGCTTGTGCAATAGCAACTATGTGGAAACAAATTCATATTTCTTATGTCAGTAACTCCCCTGTCATGAAACACTTCCATCCCTAATCCACAGCAGGTAATATTGGTAGGGTTTTTTTCCTACCAAACTTTGGAAAGGGTGATGGGTCTAGGATATATAATAAGGATCTATTCAGTGTCTTTCTCCCTAAGACGTGTTCAGATGTCCCTGTATTTGATCCTCTCTCACTATGACACAGTAAATGAACTGCCACCAGTGACAATACCACAACAGCTGGCCGTGCCCAGGAGTCTGCACCGGCAGGGCTGTGGTCTGCAAGGCCAAGGGAATTGGATTGCTCCGAAATGAAAAGGAGAAGAAGAGCCATCCTGCTCTGCAAGCTCTCAAGGTTTGTTTTCTGAATAAACAAAGTGAACAGAAGAAATGTGGCTCAGGACAGGATGTGTTGTGAAACAGCGCTCTGTCTGTTAACCCACGTAAGCCACAGAAAGCGGAAGCATTACTTCCTGAAATAAGACAATACTAAAAAAGCTTCATGATGACACTTGTAATAAACTGTGCCTTCCCCCCATTTTGAAGATAACTGTGAAACCACTGTAAAATTAAAAAAATATATATTCTAAGATGTAATTATTTCAAAAATGAGTTTGCCATGTTGCACTGAAAGCTTCATGTTTTTTGCCTGTGCATTTTATCGATTCAAATGTAATTAACAGATAGTTTAGTCCAACTCAAATCTTGTTGTAGTGCACATCATCGGGCTTTTAAATATACCTTACATCAAATGTAAACAGATATCACATTCTGAAATTGGACCTCTTCTATTTAATCCGTGGATTAGCACTTTAAGACTACATCCCCAATGTCTGCAGATCCAGTGTAAATATGTAGTGCACTGAATAAGAACCAGCGAGCTCGCCACATGACTGGTTTGGCGGTGACAAGAGTGCAGCAGTTCAGAAGCAAATAAAGTGATCATTATGCTACTTAATCACAATTAAAACGGTAATAAACACGGGAATTCTGCAAGGAATATGCTTTGGAGTTCAGTCATATACAGATTAGCAATGCTCATCATGAAGAGAATACTGTTTCACAAACATATAATAAACACAGAAAGACTTATTTTTACATAGGATGGCGTTCTGAGGCTAACTGCAACTAAAAAGGGTAAAAGAATAGACTAAAAAGTGGATTATTTGCTCATCTTTGAGACCAGTAGACATTTTTGTTCTATGACTGTTGAGTTTATATTTTACCTTTTTCTGATGAGACTAAATCTCACCAACAAAAGCCTTAAGAAAGCATGCAGGACTGGGTATCTTACATTGCTGATTCTGAGTCATTTGGGCTGATCTTCTCAATACCGTTGAGGATTTAGAATAACTTGAATCAGGTCCCTTAGGTATCTTCTCTTTTCAAAACTACAATGCTTCAGTTCTTTTAACTCATCAGTCCAGAGCAGCAGTATACAGTATATTGTGTTCAATGCTGAGTAACTCTCCATAATATTACAAATCACGTTTTATGAGTACATTGTACAATCTTAACTTAACCTCCCTAGAAATATCATACTGTTTCTATACGACATACTATGTCTCTTTGTCTTCACCTTATTGGGTAGAAGACATAAATGATGTGGCAAGAAATATCAAAGGCTTTTTCAGACGTTGCTTCTCCCTTCTTTGTTTTTGTAGTTTATCTCCCTGCAATTCATACTACTATGTTAAATGCCATTTGCCAGATTTCTGCACTTGTTCGGAATTGTATGTAAACCATTTTGAACCTCCTTTGCAGCTTCCATTGTGTTTGTGAACCTTCCTATTTGGTACCATTTGAAAAAGTAATTATTAACCCAAATTTAGTTTATTGACAAAAATTAGGAATAGCAGTGATCCTAATACAGATCCCTGAGGTACTCCACTCCTTATATTGCCTCAATTGAAACATTCAGCCCCTTATCTGTACCCTGTTTTCTATTCATTAAATACGAACACATACATTCCCTTGATACCTACTCTATGCAATAAAAAGTACATCAGTAATGTACAGGTATATACAAATGCAATTGTTTGGTTTCTCCACTGCCTACCGTAAGCAAAACACTTTGTTTCTTAGGTATTTGTTTGTTTCCAACCACAGTTACCAAAATAGGTTGACACCTCATTGAGAACTTTGACGTCGGTCTTAGTTGTCTTAATTTCTAGATTAAGTAAAAGAGAGACATTTAATAACCACCACTGTCTACAAACTTCTGCTCTAATAACAGTGCTACCCTGATTACAACAGTTAAGCTTTATGCAGCTTTTACTCAGCTCTTGTTTTCCTAGGAAATGAATGGAAGGAGATTCTCAGTGGGGACAACAGATACTAGAAGCCCTCAGATCCCTTTAAGTTGATGGAGAGGAGAGAATGGTATGACTCACATGAATTAGCTTTCTGGAATATTGAAGGACAAAAGGATCAAGTCAAGTATCACAACAGCAGGTGACTATGAACTGCCAAGAAACTACATACTACAACCATATTAAATATGGACACTCCAGATACTGAAAAATGACCAGTCTCATCAGCATCCACCAAGAAGATTCTACTATCTGCCCCTAGCAAATTTCCTCAGATGTCTGAGTAAATGGAAAGGCTGTTTTCGCAAATCATAAGTCCTCATTGCTTTAGCCTCATGTTTACAACAGGCATTATCCTTTAAAGAGGTCCAGCATTATCAGATAGCAGTAAAGGCAGTACAGATGAATGTGGTCATTCCTGAGACGGAACTGATGAGTAATCTTGATATAAAACAAATCTATACCATGCGTTTTTCTCCCAATACGCAGTTATTTTTGTGTAATGTGAAGACATTTGAAAAGGAACACACAGCCCTCAAACTAAAATCACAACACAAATTAATTCAAATTTTCCTTCTTTTCTCAGTGCAGCACTCCAAATGCATGTGATCTCAACAAGATGGCTACCTGTCTTGTTAATACGGAAGGTGTACTGTATGTTGCAAACCCCATACAGAGAACTCAAACTAAAACAACACGAAGCAGAAATCAGCTATTTTTACTTTAAATTGTAATAAATGCAAGAAGAAACACTCCTAATCGGTTAACAGATAACTAAAATTGAAAAACTACAAAGGGTGCTTGTGTGCTGTGCAATGTAAACAATTGTGAGGACTCATTCAGGAACAGCAGGAGTTGAGCTGCAATGACATTTCTAAACAATACTTTTTCAAATTACAGAAAATTACAACATTAATCTCCTATTGCAAAACCAGGCTCCTTAGAGTGTACCCATGTTTATACTTCTGAGAGGAAAGATTAGTGTCCTCCAGCTATTACTTGAAAGAAACCTGATAAAAAAAAATGTTGAGCGCCTCCTATCCGAAGCCTGAGAAATAACATGCAAAAACATAGGGTAATTTCTTAGCACTCGACGAGCAAAGAAGAAAAAGAATATTTTGAGATTAAAAGTTATGGCTCTGGCATGCAGGTCCCTAGTACCTCAAAAAGCTAGGCCACTTACCAATGAATGAAATGGCCTCTGGAAAGAACTGTGATAGATTTTGGCTCCAGTGATCCGAGATGGGGATCTGTTTGTACTTGAATTCACCGTCGTGCTCAAACATGTTGGGGAGGTTGGGTGTCACATTCAGTATGTACTTAATATTGTACTTGCCCAGCACGTCCAAGTTAGTAGAGTCTTTGGCACAGCCCAGATAAAGGTAGGGAAGAATCTGAACAGGAAAGGCAGGTTGGTTGTTAGGCAAGGGGCTTCCCTCTGACTCAGTAGCACTGCTGGGCTCCCTGTCCGATTCCCCATCGGAGCAATCGGAGCTGATCCGTAGTCCTCCCAGACCAAGCACAGATACAGGGGGGGAACTGCTGGGACATGAGCTGTCCAGATTGGTCTCGCAGTGCTCCGCGTACTCCATCTGAAACTTGTTGAATCCACCTAGAATCACATGCACATGAACAGCTAAATAAACAGAATACAGGTTTTTCAACAATGTTCAGTGTAATTAAGGCCCTTTTAACCAACTTTCAAAATACTTTAAAAAAAAGGATATTTTCCAGTAAAACAATGGGATTACACACAATACCCATGTAGATATTTTAATTCCAAAGTACACCCTGCTAACATGTTTTTAAAATTGTTGCTGATATTTCTGTAAAACAAAAACGTCCAACCTCTGTATTGTTTCAGTTGCTGCTTAGAAATGAGAGGCACTTTAAGAGATATCTGGAAGTGACATTTTGGGGACTATTTATAGAACTTAAGAGTGTAACTGAATTTCTGTCAGAGCTTATTCTTTAAAAACACTTATTTGGTCCAGAGATGAAAGCAGTAAGCCTGTGCAGAATCAGGTGTACACACTGCTTATGATATCTGCTTCTTGGAAAGAAATACCAAGAAATGAAAATTTACTATACAGACTTATAATGGAACGGATATGAGGCTTTGCTTTTCATTTCTAACTCAACCATGAACGTTTTCATTCTTTACAACTCTTGGTGCATAATTATTTTCCTATATTAAGAACAAATTCCAATTTTAATGATGCTCTACAACGTCTATATAATTTCACAATCTTATTTCGATGCCAAAGACATAGAAAAAGCTTCTGAATGACCGGGTGCTATTTTGTGAATGACAGGGAAGTCACCTATAAAAAAAAAACTGTTACCGCTTTTTCAAAAATCACGGAAGATCAATAAAATCTCTTTATAGACAAGCGGTATAACTGGAATAGTTGTTTAGCTTTAATTTTCAGTGCTATATTTTGTATTTGATTATATAAGATAAGAGTAAAGTATCTGTCTCTGTCCATTCATGAAAAACATGGCTTTTTTCCTAAAGGAAGACAACATGGCGGAGCCATTTTGGAATTTTAATTGAAAACATCTTCATCTTGGTCGCTCACATTCTTTCACAAAGTTTGGACTACAATTTTGACCAAGTGTATTTAAAATAAAAAAAATAAGTTAAGGATAAGGACTTGCTTAGTTTCAACACTAATTAATTTCACGATGTAATTTCTGATATTAAGATTAACGATTTAACATTCTCATGTTTAAATCCCACGTTTTGCAAAGCCCTCGTCGAGAAGTGTTGCTTGAAAAATATTTTAAATAATTATGAAAACACTTCAATTGTCTAAACTCAAAAGTTACCAAAACATTCCAGTAGCATCGCTTTTAAATATAACAGGAATAAAGCTTATATCATATATATATATAGATTTAGGTTTTCGCAACGTAACAGTATTTTAAAAATATAATCTTTTCAAAACAATCAAATGTTTCAATACTTATTTTGTTAGTTCTGACAGTGAAAAGTAGTTTTTAATGTACAACTTAAAACATCTGGGAAAATGTTACTTTTTATGTTTTTAATATACACATTTAAGACCTCTGAGCAAGGCTATTTTGTTTCGTTTCTAGAGTGCAGAATACAAATCAGACGCGAAGTAGAGATCCTTTAGACAGGTTTTGCACACCTATAACTAACTAAAAGCTTTGCTTATTTTTTTATATAAAATGCATCGTCCAACATCATGTACGAAATCACAACTTACTACTCAGTGTCCTAAATTAACTGTTTTGACCCTTAAGAAATTGCTTGCTACGAAACCTCAAACTCCGTTTAAGTTGTACCGCATTCACAAATTTAACGACTCCGGGACGGCTCTCCTTTCCTTACAGACCTGCCGGCCACATTACCCGAACCCATTACTTGCCAGAACACTTCAGAATTTTTAATGCAGACAAAAAACGAAACTCAAAATCAAGAACTGTCTTGACATATCACCTAGTAATAAACGGAATCCAGGCTTACATCTGCAATGACATCCGTCTTCTACAAAACACGGCTGTAAACCTCGTGAATACGGTTAAAAAAAGTGGGGGATCCTTCAGTATGGATGTGTTTAAAGCACATATCAAATATGTTTCTGTAACTCGATTTCGTCTTTTCAAAACTGGGACAAACTTAGCAGGCATGCTTAAAATAGTCCATTCGGTGCCCGAGATTAGGCGCCGAAAGTGCAGTACTCTCAAACTCGAGTGGGCTTTCGTGACAGAGTTAACATGAAGAATTAATACTGGCGTCTTACCCTCCAAGTAGTAAGCCTTGCACCCGTCGTCCCTGAGTTTCTGCAGAAGTAGCCCCAGAACAGAGCTTGCCGATCCATTTTCCTGCCAGTCCGAAGTGGCCTCGTCGTACAGAACCACCGTGTCCGTCTTGCACCGCTTCACGAACTTTTCCTTATCCTCGTTGTTGGGGATGATGGACCGGATCGGCAAATTCCCCTTCTTGAGCCTCCGCAGCATCAGCCCCGGGATAGCCAAATTGATGGCTGTCTCGATGTGAGACGACTCGAAGAGCTCGTGGGACCGACAATCCAGGACGAGCAGCGAGCCCCCGCCGGCTTCAAGTTCCTCCTGCAGCCATTCCACGCTTTTGCTCGGCATCATCGTGGTCATGTCCCGGGAACCGCTCCAAAGATTATTTTTCATGAGGGAAATAGAGGCAGGCTTGTTATTTGCAAATAAAAAAGAAGAAAAAAAAATGAGGGGCAGATGACAGCGAGGTGGCCTCCTGGAAGAGAACCACGCGCGGTGGTGGTCGTCCTCAAATCTAGCAGCAGTAGTTGTACTAGACTGAGGGGGGAACTTCGTGTGATCACGAAGCTACAGTATTGCAAAAACCATAAAGGATATTTGAATTTCTTCCCTGAAGCAGGAGGATGCAATCCTTTTTTTTTTTGTTCTATCGTTTTGTAATGTTGCTGTCCATGTGCTGTTTAAGCTTGCACTCCTCCCGTGGTATGTGAACTTAACTGTACTGCATATGACGGATTAAGGATTTTGGATTTATTGTACAGATCATTATTTCAGCATGTTAACCATTCTGCTCAGCCTCCCTCCAGTTTGTCATTTCCTGCAACCACTCTCTGACAGTCCGAATTAAAAGGGTTTTGCTGACAGCTGTGTCACGGAGGAGGGAGGAGCGTTGAGTGGAGCTTTTAAAGAAACAGCATCCAGGTTGGAAGTTGGGTTACAACAGGCGCAGCAACTTGCTGGTTGCTCCTGTGCGCTTTCCTTTTCTATTTCATGTGTTCGTCGTTTTCGGTTCACTGCAACAGAAAGTAAGACCACAGAAAATAATATAACGCATTGTTCTGCTTCTTCATCGCAGCCATCTGTTTCTTTAAAAGTAGCTTTAAAAAAAGGCAACTTGAGCCTGGGTTCATTTATCCCCAAACCTGAGCAATAATTAAACCGCTCACGTGTTCCGAGGGAGTCTACAAAGCCTAACCTACAGTAGGTTTTGAATAAACAGGTATCTTTCTCTTTGTTTTCCTATAGCCTTTATTTTATTTCACCATTGCAGATTTGGGAACGGAATCTGTAGCAGCAACTCTTTAATTGTTCAGACGCCTCCAGCTGTCGAAACAGCGATGATTCGTAGCAAAAGACCTGGGGACCAGAAAGAATGGGCTACTAGTGTGCATTTCAAAACTGGGTTTCGTAAGAAATACAGCGGTGGGTCATCACTTCTTGCAGAAATAAAAACAAACTCAAAGTAATGCACATGCATATGGCAGAACCGGTTACATGTTCCACTCTGGCACGTATACTGTAACACCTGCTGCCCTGGTTCGCCTCCTGCCCCTGTAACAATTCATAATTTAAACCATTTTCGGGTTACGCGATCTTCACTGCCTCAAAACCCCGCCACCCGTCTTTGAACGGGTTCATTGCTCAGAATAAGCTGTCTTTGACACGTGTGATCTAGTGCAAGTGGTCAAAAAGTGCGTGCGCGCTTGCTCGGCGGTCGTCAAAAACGCGACACGGCGGAGTCGGTCCGCCCACTCCGGGATCCGTCGCGCCGTGGGCGCTCTCCGCAGCTACTGTGCGCGGAGATCCGAGCGGCTGCCTGCGGTTTCGCATCGCCGGCACCACGTGCTTTGTCGGAGAGACCGGGTGGAGGGACTCGGCGAGGCGTGGGAAACGATCGACACGCGTGTGGGCCGATTTCGGAATAAGCGGCCCGAGCGGGGAAACCTGACAACTGGCGCGATGCTCCCCTCGCGTTTGAGCGCAAAACGTGGCACAGAATTCGGCTCTATCGTTTGCTTGAGAGGGGTTGTGCTGGCGACCAAAAGCCTCGTGTTGATTCCACACGTCTAAACCAACCGTTAGCAATGTGACTGTATTTTTTTTTCCACCCCTCCGAAGCCGACAGGAAAAAAAGAAAGCGCAGCAAGTCAAGCTGTCTCTTTAAATAGCTAGCATCAGAGCCGTGAGCGGCAGCAAGCTGGTGAATACGAGCCCATAGCACTGCATTCCTCAGAAGTACTGGGAGGGGAGATGAGTTGCTGTTGTGTATATGGGGCGTGTGTAATACTACTCGCCAAGTGATTTCAGAAAAACGCGGGAAGGGAAAGCAAAAGAACTTGGCTCTAAATGCTAATAAAGATAATTGCATAATACGTTTTAAATACCCCGTCCTCTGAATGAAGTATTGTAAATAAAAAAAAATTAACACATTGTGCAAATGTACAAAATAGACGATAAAATTCGAAAATGCGAGTCTTCTGCTAAAATATGTGAACTATACTTGCAGTATAATAAGGAAAAGTTGGCCTTCGCTTGAAGTATGTCTACAATAGATACACACAGGAGAACAGCTATTTTTGCACAATAATGCTCTCTGCAGGTTGTTGCCATCTTGAAAACAGTTCCCGTGGAAATAGGAGAAAAGCCTCAGTAAACGCAAAATGAACGGGGGGAAAAAAGTTTTTGTGATTATTCAAATCAGAGCTAAAATGGTATTTTGTTTTGTTTTTTTCCAACTTTCAACTTCATTTTGCTGGTTCTGTGGAGATCATTGAAATCCATACGTGATCCGCGGGACTAATTGAGAATGTGGAAAATGGAACCAGATGGGCATGCAAATGAGTTTTTTTTAGAAATTAAAAACATGTGAGCTCCCTAATTCTCTCGCTAGAATGAGGGACATGCGTACGGTATTTTGTACTCTAAATTTCTAAGCCTACTTTTAACCAAAACGTGAAACCATCCAAGTTTAGAAAAACTAAAACACTTCTAAATCCGGGCTAAAATTAAAAACACGTAAATATATACCAAAGAATGGAAAATTCCTAGCATGTAAAATGTTATGTTTCAACGTGTCGAAACACAAAAGCTTTCGGTTTGATTAGTTTCATTGGTTTAATACTCTCAAACCGGGACTACTGTACTAGCATTTTACCTCTTTCAAAATATCTCTCCAGTGTGAGAAAGTGCAAATTCATTTTAAGGAAGTAACGCGTCCTGCTTCGTTATTATCGGAGAAAGCGTATGGTGTTTTTGAGGAAGTGTAGTAGTAAGCAACCTTATCTTGCAGTAGCAGTAAAAAATGCTTTTCACTACATATGAACACAGAAGATGGTGTCACAAATGATACACATCTGATACACATTCTGCTCCATCTGGACATATTAATATATATCCGCCAATAATATTGCCCGTTGCGTTACAATATACAGTTCCTACAATCGCTTTTGACATCCATAATACTACTCAAGTAAAAAAAAAAATAGCATTAACGGTATTAACCCATTACAATACACTTCTTTCCACTTCACCATTTCCGTTGAGTACGAAGTGTAACAAAATAATAGACGATATCGATGGTGTTTACAGTAAAAAATGATCTTTTTTATTACTATTTTGTTCCTCATGACTGATACTGACACAATCAAGACATAACCTGTGAAACAGGAATGTTCCACCCTGGAAACAGAGGGCTGCTATTAAATTGGATTATATTGATTTATTTAAATTATCAATACTTTTTGAGCAAATACAAATTGTTAACCAGTCCATTTATAACCCATGGACACCAGAATTGGTTAGTTAAGAGGTGAGTCATAAATAAAACTTACAGACACTGCAACCCTCTAGTGTCAAGATAGGTGTATTCAGTAGTGATTTTTAGTAGGGTAGTGACACTGTTACATTCACTGAATGTGCTCTTGGTTGTGCAAGTACTGTATTGACCTTATACTGTGAAGGGGTTTGATTGATGATTTTCAATGACTGCCTTTTGTTTAATTGTGTCAATTTTTATGTTTATAAGGGGGCACCACACATCTATTTACACGTAAAAGGTTAGAAACCAAATAAAGTAAATATGCAGTTCTAGAATAATAATAAGAGGAATAGGAAATAATAGTATTTTTAGTCAAGTCCATGAATGCATGCAAAGTATTCTAATTAGTATAAGTATTCAATACAAAGTATTCTCATATTCTTGCATTTCATAATTTGACATAACAGTGAATCAAATTTGAAGACATTAGTAAAATAGTAAAAAAAAACATATTTGAGGTATTATGACTAATTTCAAATTTTGCAGAGTGGTACTTTGATTAATTTGGTATAAAGTTTTTTAAGTTGTTTTAAGTTCAATTAGGGGTGAATAGTGCACTTACAGAATACTGAAGTAATCAAAATGGAACACTTGGTATTATACGACCTTAACAGGGTGTGGATAAATTTCAAGAATATGGATACTTGGAAACTCTTTTGGAAGTAGATCAGTGATTATATGGTTTCCTGGGGGAAGGGGTCCTTGTATTTTAAAAATTGCAGAATAATCAAATCAAAGTTTTAATAATAGCTTATTATTGCACATTTAGTAAAAAAAATTTTTTTTTTAGTATTGTGAATTTGTTTAGGATATAGCAATGTTATATGTTAAGCATAGAGTAGTTCAAACACACCAATAAATTATATTCACATGTAAAATACGGTATAGTAGAAAAAGTGTTGTACAGTACACATAACTTCAGCTCGTTTAATAAAAAGTGCAATACATTTAGTATAGTAGCCTTTTAATGAGAAATAAAATGTTGTTTGCAAGAACTGTAAAATATACTTTTGCTGGATCAGCCTGTGAACACTGCAATATATTGGAAACAAGATTATCGAATAAGTAGTGATCTGCTATAGTATGTTTTGCATCTCATTGATTCTTCACTTTGAAAGCTAATGAGAACTCTGCCATTTTACAGCTGAGTACTGAGTGCAACTACATTGAATTATGTAAAGTAACAAAGCTTAGATGACATTACTCTGACTTGTGGCCACTACCTCTTCTAAAATATAACCAAGCCTCAAGGCTGTAATTTCTGATATCCTTTTGTTTCTATTTCATGCCTCAAGCCCTTTGCAAAATATTAATACATATTAAAATTACGAGGGATATAAATAACTTGTCCAAACCCTAGGAATTTATTGCCTCTGCATTTTATATAAATATTTTAAAACATAACGATGCTTCCTTTTTCAAGAAAGCATATAAATGACAGTGGGGTGTGTGTCTGGGTGTGGGTACAGGCTTCTCCCATTAAAGAGAAAAGAATGGGAAAATGTGTTTTTCTGCTACCCACCTGATTTTGAATAGCCAATTGTATGTTTTTCACCTCTCGGCTGGAAGCATTGAACCTCGCAGCCGCACACAGGGAGAATGAGGAAGTGTAAACAAACTCCTCCAGCTGCTCTCTCACCTTCAAGCCATTCATCTTTTTGAACACATCACGGGCCTTGGGGTCCACCATCAGCTGGAGGAGATGAGCATCCCTCGCAGACATAATGGCATAATGGCATGTGGAGACCACAGGGGGTTACTGTGCCACTGAGAGCAAGAGAGCTCCAGCCAACTAATCCCATCTCACTCTCAGCCGTGCCCTGCCAATTGTGCAATGGCACTTGAGAGATTCCAGTCAAAGTCAGCCAGGGACATGACTCAAGCAGGAACTGGTGATCACCAGCTGAAGTGTGCGGGGGATAGTGAGCGCCTTTACCAGCTGAGACACTCTAGAGGCCTGCATGCTTCCCATTTTGTCTCAATCAAACACTAAATGGGCTTTAACTGGACTTTCTGACACGGCAGATATCTATTTCCTAAGATGCTTTTCTCGAATAATCGCGTGATGTGCTTCTCTCTCAGGCTGAAATGTCACACACGTCAACGGAAATAAAGCCGTCCAATGGTGGTGCCCTGTCTTATCTTTACGTTGAAACAAGGCCACGAGTTGCAACACCGTTCTGTGATTTTAAAACTACGGTATTGAGATTCCATGCACGTGTAAACAGACCTATGTCCCGACCTGTTCAAAAGAAAAGAGAAACAGGGCATAGCTATCGAGACATCTCTGCAAGAAGCTGCACGAATTAGTTCACACTGCCACTGCAGGTCATGTCTGCCTCATCGATAAAAATGGTCTGGCTGCTTGAGTTGGGAACTAATGAGGAAAAAATAAAGAGAAGAGGTAGGCTTGCCTGTTAGGAATCTAATTCAGTTCTGTTTACTTGATTTATCTGTCTTTTAATGGAAATGATTTATTCTGTTCAATTTTGACTGCCAACATATTAAACTCAATAGATATGGAAGAGAAACAGAACATTTTAGAAGCATCAGGTGGGTCAGGAGACTGAACTATGTTTTATTGGCAT